TGTCAGGGACTCTCTGTTGTGTTCCCTGTCAGGGCGATCATTGGTGGTAGCCAGGCGCCATCTAGTTCTTCTGGTCTCAGGCTGATGGAGTCTCTGGTTTATGTGGCCGTTTCTGTCTCTTGGGCTAATATTTTCCTTATGTCTTTGGTGTTCTTCTCCTTTGCTGCAGGTGAGTTGGGACAAATTGATGCTTCTTAGATGGCTGCTTGCTAGCTTTTAAGACCTCAGATGCCACTCACCAAAGTAAGATGCAGAACGTTTTCTTAATAAACTTTGTTATGCCAGTTGACCTAGATGTCCCCCAAAACCATGGTCCCCAGACCCCTGCCCCTGCTACTCTGCCCCTCGAAGTGTTTGGTTGTATTCAGGAAACTTCTTAGCTTTTGGTTTAGTCCACTTGTGCTGACTTTCCCTGTGTTGTGTGTTATCCTTCCCTTCACCTAAGATAATTCTTGTCTGCCATCTAGTTAGTGAATTCCCCTCTCCCCTCCTCCCCACCCTTGTAACCATCAAAGAATGATTTCTCCTGTGTTTAAACCTTTTCTTGAGTTCTTATAATAGTGGTCTCATACGATATTTGTCCTTTTGCAACTAACTTCACTCAGCATAATGCCTTCCAGATTCCTTCATGTTATGAGATGTTTCGCGGATTCATCATTGTTCTTTATCATTGTGTAGTATTCCATTGTGTGAATATACCATAATTTGTTTATCCGTTCATCCGTTGATGGGCACGTAGGTTGTTTCCATCTTTTTTACTGTTGTGGACAGTGCTTCAGTGAACAGGGGTGTGCATTTATCTATTCATGTGACGACTTTTATTTCTCTAGGATGTATTCCAAGGAGTGAGATTGCTGGATCATATGGTAATTCTGTTTCTAGCTTTTTAAGGAAGCACCAGTCAGTTTCCGAAGTTGTGCTACCATTTTACATTCCCACCAGCAGTGTATAAGTGTTGCAGTCTCTCTACAACCTCTGTGACATTTATTATTTTGTGTTTTTTGGATTAATGCTAGCCCTGTTGGGGTGAGATGGTATCTCATCATAGTTTTGATTTGCATTTCTCTAACGGCTAGTGATTGTGAGCATTTCCTCATGTATCTGTTAGCTGTCGGGCAGTGTTTTGTTCTGTTGTATGTAGGGTCCCGTTGAGTTGATACCAGCTGATGGCACCTTACAACAATGACTAATGCTGTTGAGCATTTTCTCATGTGACTGTTGACAATTTCTGTATCTTTGTATGTCTTCTTTGAAGAAATGTCTATTCAAGTCCTTTGCCCATTTTTAAATTGGATTATTTGTCTTTTTGTTATTGTCTTGTAGATGTTCTTATATATTCTGGATATTAAACTCTTATGATATATATGGTTCCCAAATTTTTTCTCCCATTCTGTAGGTTGTCTTTTCATTTCCTTGATAACATCCTTTGACATATAAAACTTTTAAATTTTGATGAATTCCAGTTTATTTTTTCTTTGGTTGTTTGTGCTTTTAGTGTCATCTCTCTGAACCTATTGTCAAATCCAAGAGTTAATACGGTTTAGCTTTTATATTTAGGGTGTTGGAAACCCTGGTGGCATAGTGGCTAAGAGCTACAGCTGCTGACCAAAAGGTCAGCCATTTGAATTCACCAGGTACTCCTTGGAAACTATGAGGCAGTTCAACCTTGTCCTATAGGGTCACTATGAGTCGGAATCGACTCGACAGCAATGGTTTATTTAGGGTTTTGATCCATTCTGAGTTAATTTTGAATATGATGTGAGATATGGAGTCCACCTTCATTGTTCTGCACGTGGAGATCCAATTGTCACAGCAACATTTGTTGAAGAGACCATTTGTTCCCTATTGAATGAACTTAGCGCCATTGTTGAAATTCAATTGGCCATAGATATATGGGCTTATTTCTGGACTTTCAATTCTATTCCATTGGTCTATATGTCTATGCATCTGCCAGTTCTTTACTTTTTTTATTACTATAGCTTTGTACAGTAAAACCTGCAAAAGCTGGAATCTGTGTAAGGCAGAAACCTGTCAGAGAAGGAAAACTCAAATATTTTCCACTAAAACAAATGATAGAAAAGTGGTAAGACTGTACCGTGTCAAAGGTCAAAAACTTGTGAGGCCTGGAAAAACAAGACAGTCTTGTCGAGTTCCGGCTCTCACAGTTTTCACTGTAGTATGTATTGAAATTGGAAAGTTTGAGTCCTCCAACTTTTTTATTCTTTTTCAAAATTGTTTTGACTGTTTGGGGCCTTTGCATTTCCATATGAGTTTGAGGATCAAATTTTCCGAAAGGCTATTGGAATTTTTATAGAGATTGTGTTAAAACTGTAAATTACTTTGGCTAGTATTGACATGTTAATCATATTAAGTCTTCCAGTCCATGAACATGGATGTCTTTTCACTTATTTAATTTTTCTTTAATTTTTCTTTGTTTTTTAGTGTACAGGCCTTTGCCTCCTTGGTTAAATTTATTTCTAGATATTTTATTCTTTTGATGCTATTGAAAATGAATTCTTTTCCTAACTTCCCTTTGGATTGTTCACTGCTGTAGTATAGAGACACAAGTGGTTTTTGTGTGTTGCCCTTGTATCTTGTGACTTAGCTGAGTTGATTTATTACCTCTAGTTTTCTTTGGAATTTTCTGTATATAGGATTATGTGACCTGTGAATAAAGACAGTTCTAGGCTTTCTTTCTAATTTGGATGCCTTTTATTTTTCTTTCCTAATTACTATGGAACTCCCAAGTGGGCAGCCTTGTCTTTCTCCTTAACTCAGGGGAAAGCTCTCAGTTTTTCACCTTGGAGTTTGATGTGAGCTGTGGATTTTTTTAATTGCCCTTTATTGTGTTTTGAAAGTTCCATTCTATTCATTGTTTTCTGAGTGCTTTTATCATGAATGGGTGTTTATACTTATAATTCTAATAATTAGATTAAAAGTGACTTAAAAGACATTAAATTTTAAAATAGGCAAGGGTAAGCTGTAGTGTCTATATATACACATTTAGTAATAAACTCTAAAGCAAAGCAAGAAGTGGAAGGTGAAGATAGCATTCCTTTTGAAGGAAGGAAGGCGGGGCTGTTATTGGGATCTGGGACTTGTGGGGTCTTCTAAGGGATCTTGCAGTTGTTTACCAAGGTATTTACCTTATAATAATTCACTGAGCTGTGCATATGCTTGTGTGGTTTCCCATGATTTTTATTTTACAATTAAATTTTTTTTTTATCCTCAAAAGTTACTTGAATTCTCTGTGAGGTTAAATTGTTAATTTGTTATTATGTTTTATATGTTTCCCTTTTTTTTTTTAGGGATTGCTTTTTTAAACGTTTATAATTTGGCTGTTTTAATTATGTAAAACATATACATGGTTTCAAAGTCAAAAATATGAACTAACATGTATTTAGAAATGTGTAGATTCTATCCCTTTCCCTTCTTTCCTCTATAGGTATTACACACTCACATACTTTCAAACACATTCACATTCACACACAACTCACACACATTCACACACTCTTCACATACTCTCACACTCTCAAACACATTCACACACAGTTCACACTCATTCACACACTCAGACTCACTCATACATTTACACTCTCACACTCACATTCCATTCTCAAACACATTCACACATACTCATACACAGGCACACACTCACCCTCACACATTCCCAATTCATACTCTTACACAAGTCACACATGCTCATTCACACTTCATACTCACATGCTGTCACACACTCACACTTTCAAACATTTACACACTTCATACTCATGTGCTCTCAGTCACATTCACACTCACACACCCTTACATACACATTCACTCAAGCACACTCATTCTCAAACACATTCACACACACTCAGCAGTTCACACTTACACACATTCACATTCACACTGAAACACATTCACACTTATTTACATACTTTTACACATGCACACTTAAATACACTCTCACACACTCTACCCCTCTCCCCACCCTTGTTCTTTGATAAAAGGTATTCCCTACATGATGTTCTTCACCTTGCTTTCTTCACTTAACCAAAGCTATCCTAGAGGCCTTTCCAGAGTTGTATATGAAGGTTTTTCTTGTTTTCTCTTCTTCTTTTTTTTTTTTCTTTGCTGCATATGCTCCATTTTACTCCACTGTCCTCTTGTGTTTTGCTCCAACTTTTGGTTCTCGTAAAGAACATTGCAGAGACCAGCCTCATGTGCACGTCATTTGTGTTTTGCTTGTCTGTCTTCAGGAGAGGTCCAGGAAGTGGGTTGAGAGCATGGTCAAGGTGTGAATGGGTGTTTGTTCCCCAGTATGTTTCTATGCTCAAAATTTGGTACGGTCGTCAGTATGATGATAGCACTTTTCAGAGTTTTAGCATTTTAGCTGTGCTTTTATTATTAAACCAAAAAAAAAAACAAACCCTTTGCTGTCGAGTTGAATCTGACTCATAGTGACCCTATAGGTCAGAGTAGAACTTACCCATAGAGTTTCCAAGGAGCGCCTGATGAATTCAAACTGCCGACCTTTTGGTTAGCAGCCGTAGCTCTTAACCACTATGCCACCAGGGTTTTTCGCTTTTATTATTAGGCATGTTTTATTGTGGTACATCTATTATTTTATTGTTAAGGTAATATCTCACTCCCTTTTGAGTAGTTTTGTGTACATACTTACTATTTTGTTATTATAGAGACATGGATTAAAGTTAGAAATGATCAATATAGTTTTTCTAAAATAAAGTACTAATTAATATTAAATATTAGGCAAGCAAACCAAATAGGAAGTAGTAAATGATTACAGAAAATAGTTAAGGACCTATGTCTTTTCAGCAAACTCATTTTGTGAATCAAATAAAATTCATCTTTTAGGAATTTTGTTAATGGGAGCATCTAGGTATATCATTTTGTACCCCTTTGTGCCCTGGAATCTTGGTTTGAAAGTAGTTGTGGCTCAGAAATGACCTTCTGTAACACTGTTCAAGAGTGGTGAATTTTTTCTCCTTTATTTCAAGGTTCATGCTTCATTAGAACTGATCAGCTCGACGGTGAGACGGACTGGAAGTTGAAAGTGGCGGTGAGCTGCACTCAGAGGCTGCCAGCCCTGGGGGTAAGCACACCAGGGTCTCACTCCTTCTCACAGTGCATCTCCAGTCATGCCGGCTGACCGGTGCTCTGGGGGTAAATGAGTCTCTGTCTCACCTTCTCGCAGTGCATGTCCAGTCATGCCAGCTGACCAGTGTAATGCTTTGAAAATTCATCATATAATTTCTTCATTATTCATGAGGAGTCATTGAAAAGTGCCAAAAGAATTTCTACGTTGTCTTCACACATAACACATCTCAGGTGTAGATTTGAAAGCCCCTATTGGCTTGGCACTTAGTTTTCTTTCATTCTTTGTTTATTTTTGGCTTTCTTAGTTGAGTAATTTTCAAAGTTGAGGTAATTTGGTGGGTGTTAGGTGTGTCGATCATTGCTAGCTGATTTACTGTTTCCTAATAGGCTAGTTGTGATACTGGTTTGGGAGACCGTAGGATTTAGATGCTGTGGTATACCCTTGACATGGTGTTGATCTCATCTGTTCCATGTCTTTCTGTGGAAGGCAGAGAGCCCTCTCTGATGAAGAGAAGGGACGTGTCCATGTCTGAGTCTTCCTGTGGAAGGCAGAGAGCCTTCTCTGATGAGGAGGATGGGATGTGTTCATGGTTTAGACCAAGGGAAGAAGGAGAAACACACTTTCTAACCTCTTGCTTCACTCTTACTGAGTTTTCCTTTATACCTGGGGAAAAGACAAGGGGTGAGACTGGAGAGGAGAACAGTATTGATGGATTCCTGTGTTCTTGGTGATCTCTAAAACAGATCTCAATAATGCAGGGAATATCCCATCTTCTCTACAAAAGCATAGTTGTGGGCATTTGGTGTTTATTTTTTGTTAGTTGTTGGTTATATCTTTTAAGGAATCAGTCCATTTCATATAAGTTGTCAAATCTAGTGGTATAAAGTTCATAATATTCCATCATTACTTTATAGTAGTTGTGGGATCTGCCCTTTCAGTCCCACATCTTCTCTCTTCTTTTTTTCTTCCCCTCGATCAGTCTAGCTAGAGATTCATTCATTTTATCGAACATTTCAAACAACTTGCTTTTGGTTCCATTGATTATCTTTATTGTCTGTTCATTTTCTGTTACTGATTTCTGCTATTTCCTTCATTCTAGTTAGTCTGTCTTTAATTTCCTTTTCTTTATTAGCTTAAGATGGAAGTTAGACCCTTGATTTTTGACCTTCTTTTCTCTTATAAGCACTTAGAGCTATATTTCCTTCTCAGCACTGATTTACCTGTGTCACACAAACTCTGTATGTTGCCTTTTCATTATCATTTAAAAATGTTTTCTAATTTTCTTTGTGAATTTCACCCTTCAGTTATTTGGAAGTGGATTGTTTATTTGCCAAATAGTTGGGGTTTTTCCTGTTATCTTTTGTAATTTATTATTTAATTGTATTATGGTCACAGAACATATTCAGCATTGTTTCAGTCCTTTTATATTTGTTGAGAGTCCCTGGATGGTGTAAATGGTTAACCTGCTCAGGAGTTATAACTCCTGTAACCATCCTGATATTGATGAAGACAGAGTTAACAATTTTTGTATTTTATAAACGATGTCATGATTTACTTGTTAGTCTGTTTTAGCTCCTCCTACCCCCTTTTATGGTATAATAGCTAGAAGGTTCTGGATCAAAAGATATGCATAGTTTTTATGATTTTGGTTTTTTTTTCCAACATACTCTCCAGAAGACTACAACTTGTATATTCACTGTGTATTAATCAATCAATTACCCTCTCAGTCTTTGTCTGGTTCTGATAGTTGTGAAGCTGGTTGTTGTTGTTAGGTGCCGTCACGTTGATTCCTACTCATAGCAACGCCATGTGACAGAGTAGAACTGCTCCATAGGGTTTCCTAGGCTGTAATCTTTACAGGAGGAGACCGCCAGATCTTTCTCCTGGAGAGCCACTGGGTGGGTTTGAATTGCTGAGCACTTAACCATTGTGCCACCAGGGCTCCTTTGTGAAACTGCTATCCTATTTAAAGTTAGATTTCTTTTTTTGTGAAGTTGAAAAGATATCTAAGAAAGACTGTTTCTTATATTTTCATTTTATTAGCTTCGTTCATGTTCTCTGCTCATTTTTGTATTGTGTGTCTTTAAAGAATTCCTTATATATAAAGTTGGCTGATCATTTGTCCTAGAAAATGCAAAAAAGCCCTACTCTATAGTAAGAGCAGTCAGTGGTTGATGGGGCTGGGGGGTGGAGGGAGGGCTGGGTTGCAGAGGGGCACGGGACACTGTGGAGTGATCAAAGTGTTGGTATCTTGATTGTGGTGATGGCTTCACAGACATATGTATATACCAAAACTCATAAAATTGTACACTTTAAATATATGCAATCCATTGCATGTAAATTATATCTTAATAAAGTGTTAAAAACCCACCATGTTATTACCTGTAACTATGAGCATTATTCTCTTTGTAGTCATCATAGGAAGTGACATTTTCTTGTATTTAATGTTATAAGGATGTTTTCATTTTTGTTAGCGACAGATGTATGTGTAAATTGCAAAATGCTTATTTTACAGATTTATAATACACAGTCATACAGTAGTAATTTTAAAATGTCATGGTCGGTGCCCTTTGATAGAGAGGAAAGCAATGGGGTGAAATAACCTGTGGTCAATGAAATCATTTTAGTTTTTGATAGGACCCTAAAACCAAAATGCAGTATTTCCTAGAAAAAAGAAAGTTTAACTTAATTTCTGATTCACTTCTTAAGTTTGTAGCTTCATGTAATTTGACATATTGTTTATAGATTTTTTTTTCACAGAGAGGAAAGCTCTAATTTCCTCTTGGATACAGATAGGGCAGTTTGGGTTTTCATTTATTAGCTCTGCTGTCCTTCACTGTCATTCAGCATGCCTCTGTGTTTCTTGAATGTTGGATTTGGGGATTTTGTGTCGATAGCTGCTGGTCACATTATCTGGGAAGCATTGTGTCCATTGTGACACCCAGATAAGTAAACTTGTGAAGCTAGAGTTTTTCCGAAAGAACCGATGGTCCCACCAACAATCTCCACCAATGCTGTCATATCCCTGAGCACGGAAGGTTATCAGAAGATTAAAATTTCAATGAGTCATTTAATAATGACTGTGCTGCAAGTCCTGTAAGGCAGCTCAGGTTGCTGTTGTCTGCGTCCGGTGGGAGGCGGCATCCCCAGGCACCGCAGACTTGGGAGATGGACTTGTGGCGTTTGTGATCAAGCAAATTTATTAATGAGGTCACAGTAATTTTCAATAAATCATGACTTGCTGATTTATTTCAAAAGATCCATATAGCAGTAAACAGTACCATTTATATTTAATTAGTTTTATTGAACGAAAGGCAATTTTATTTGTAATGAACCACATGTTATGATTAAGGATGTGTTTTAATGACCTTTAAGTAATGCAAACAAATGTTGCCCTTGACCTAGTAGCAGAGGCTTTCCTACATTATTGAAAACTTCAGAATGATTTTTAAATTATTGTGAAAAGCTCTGAATGACATTCTCATTATTGCACCATTATTCAGTCATTTGATGTCTAATATACGTGATGAAATGCATTCCTCTAAGTGTTCCTGTCCATGTAGAAATGATGGCTGTTGCTAGCTCTTCTCTGCTTCCATGTATTAAAAGGTAGTCTGCTATATAAAAGTTTCATGTTTGGAAGTTACTATGACAGTGTCATATTTAAATGATGGGTGATTCTCAAACTTGCCTTATTCCGGGAATCATCTAGCTGCTGCTTCAGCATGCTAGTAGTATTTTCTATATTTATTATAAGATGTATTTCTTCTTGTGCAAACTAGATTGACTTAATTAAGTAGAAAATAGATTTTATTCGTTAGAATGTAGTCAGAGCTGCTGAAACAGAGACCCACTGTGGAAAATTGGTTTGTCCAGCCTTCATCCCACCCTCCCTCCACTATAGTGTTTCTGTTCTCTAGAAACGTGAAAACTAATACATACACCTGTTTCCCAGGCCGCCCTCGGTGCTATGTGAGTTAGCTTTCACAAGTCAGATATAAAGAAAATGTCGGGCGGAATGGGCAGGTATTATCTTCCTACCCATTTTGGTTTCTGCTGGCAAGTGAAGCTGTGGGGACCGGAGAGCTTCCTGTCATTAGCTGAAATTTCTGAGTCATTACGTAGTTTAAATGTGTAGCTTCATGTCCTCTAGCCTGTTGTGTAGACAGTGCTTGCTTGCCCTGTGCCCCCCTCCCCAGGTAGGTGTGTGTGTGGACTCCATGGTTCAGTCGTTACTCACTTTAACTGTGTAGCTTCTTATCGTTTGGCGTTATCTTAGGCTAGGTTCTCTAGAGAAGCAAAACTAGTAAAGCATATAAATATATATAAAGATTTATATCAAGGAAATGGCTCACGTGATTGTAGAGTCTGAAACATCGCCAGTCCGTGGGTCAGGCTGGAGGCTTCTTCTGATTCACGTAGCCACAGGGCTTCGAAGTCCAATGAATCCCAAGATCGGCAGGCAAGATGGCAGGTAAGTGCTAGCTCAAGTCCCAAAACCGGAGGTTAGACGAACAGGAGCCAGCTGCAAGATCCGGAATGAGCAAAAGCCCACCAGCCTTGCCAGAAAGTCCACTGATATTCGATGCAGGCCACACCCCCGAGGAAACTCACTTCCAACTGATTGGCTTCTCACAGCAGATCCCATCATGGAGGTGATCACATTATATCACATCTCTTCATGGAAGTGACCATATCATCATATGATTGCCAAACTACATCATAACTGCCAAACCACTGAGAATCATGGCACAGCCACGCTGACACACAACCTTAATGATCACAAGCACGTTGTGTAGACAGTGCCTGCTTGCCTTGTGGCCACCTCAAGTTGGTATGTGTAGACTCAGTGGTTGCTGTGGGACCTTTCACGGAGGATCCTCCTGTAATGTTCTGAGAATCCTTTTCGGAATTCAGTTATGAGCCCCCACCCTTCCCATAATTTTGGAAGCATCTTTCAAGTGGTCCAGTGGCCTGGCCAGCATCTGTGGTGTTTCATGGTGTCAAGCCCACCACACACTGTGGGATGTCCCCATGAGCAGACCTCTGGCACAGCTCGTAGTGGGCTTTGGCATGGAGTCAGGTCCAGTCCCCATCATATAGTCTCTGCCACAATGCCACGAGCATAGCACCTGCTGTGCCAAGGATCCTGCATCCTTTTGTCAGAGGAAGGAACCAGAGAGCTGGATCTGGACCAGAAGCACATTCCACGTTGTTTCATGCTAGCACTGGGAATAGGGGAGGATGGTGCTAATCTCTCACAACAGGTTGGGCTGAGAGACTTCCATATGCTTCTGTCTCAGCCCCTTTTACCTTGCTCTAAAATGAGTTTGGGTCTGACTTTTCCTTTCTTGTTTGAGTTGTCAGTCTCTCATCCTCCCTCCCCACCATTAATTTTGTTCCTAGTTACTCTCTTGTTGTAACATAAACCTGTACTCATATTAGGAAATTTTCCTTTGAAAGTCTATTGATTCAAGTTGAGCTTTCTGCAGCCATCTTCAGGTGATGCCTTGTTAACAACTCGAGTGTGAATGAGATGAAGTAGAGACTCCAGCCCTCCGTGGGAGAGCACAGAGGAGCAGGAATGCAGGCAGAGTGAGGCACCAGGCACAGCATTTCAGCGTCTGCTTGAGAGAATACAGACAGCACCAGCCAACATCCTGCAACACTTCACTTACTTGGACTGTTGTCGTTATTTGCCTTTTATCTCATTTAAACTTAATTCTAGTGTTTTCAAGGCCTTTAGTAAATACAGATTTTTTTTTTTTAACTGCTGTTTGTTTTTGTCCAGGTTTCCGATAGCCAATTAAGAATATTAAAAATAACAACTAAATATCAAGAATTAAATTTTTAAAATTATATGATTATTTTTACCAGATCACAAGTAAAAATACCTCATTAAAAAAAGTTTATTGTAAATAAATAACTTCTCTTAGTTTAATGAAAATAGTTTTAAAAATTAAATAAATAAAAATTGTAGGCTGACACACATACTTTTGTAATTATAAAGTAAGGTACTCAAGATATCATCTGTGGAGACTTTCTGGTGACCAAAGAATGAAGTAACCGAAAGCATCTGTGCATCCTGCTTCAGAACTCTAATTCAGTGAAAGTAGCTACAGTGTGTGCACAGTCAAGGCATTCCTGTATCATTTTGTAAATATAGATCGTGGAGATATGGCTCAGCCACACTGGGGAAAATGCTTATAGCAAATGGGGTAGCTGCTAGAGCAAAAGCCAATAGAATTTATTAATTTTATTAAGGTGTTTCATAAAATTTATGACAAAATATGATGATTACTTAAATCCCACTGAGTACTCTCATATTCATGTAACTTCAAAACTCGCATACACAGGCTCTACCTAAAGCCTCAGATATTGGAATCTTGGGGTCCAGCCCCAGCCATTGTGAGTTTTATAAGCATTTTCCAAGGGACTTGATGATACCACAAGTCTGTGAGAATCAAGAGAGAGCACCATGACTCTGAGGGCTTAAAATCGTTTCTTTATTTGTATTTCATCATAAATCATATTATAGGTACATTAAAGGTAACGATACCAGTGATCATGTTTGATAAATAGTACATGTAAAATGTTAACTATTAATGGAAAAGTTTCCAAGTAACTTGTTTTAATTATAAAAGTAGAATTAATTCAGGTGTTCTGTATTTCAGGACCTCTTTTCCATCAATGCTTATGTTTATGCCCAGAAGCCACAACTGGATATTCATAGTTTTGAAGGGACATTTACCAGGGTAAGTGACATCTTTTATTCAATACAAGTATATTTATTGTGAGTGTAAATTACAAATAGCAAACTTGTACTTCGAAGGGTAATTAAATCAAGAACAAATTCAAACGGAAAAATTTTGAACTGGAAAGGTAAAAAAACTTTGAGAACATTTCAAGTTCTTAAGTTTTCCTCTATTAATTATCTGTTTGGGATACATTCAGTACAGTTTTCCTAATTTTAGCGTATTTACTATTGGTAAGTTCCTTCTCCCCTAAAATATTATGAGTCAGTAAAATGAAGTAATTTAGCTATTTCAGGTTAGATTTTGGATAATATTTAATATGATATCCACATCATTTCTAGATTTTTATTAAGTGGGTAGAAGAATGTATGTACATATGTTTCTTATGTGTATTTCATTCTACATACTTTTCATTATTATAGAGATTTGGTATAGTTTGAAGTACCCCACCTCTGACTATATAATAGGACTTGAAGTACTCAATAACTTTTTAATTTTTATGGTTTCGACTTTAAAATACCTAAGGGATTTTAATATGTAACTATAGTTTATTTTTAATTGCTGCAATTATTTTGAAAAGATTTTTGTTGGTGCCATCACATTTGTTTCATTCTTGGTCACGTACAAGGATTGGCAAGCACTTGTCATCATTTGAAAAAGCATTTACTGAGCTTGTAGTATGTGCCAGGTAACGTGCAAATTGTAGGGATGCAAAGCAAGGAAACCTGTAAGGTGGTCAAAATCATTGGGTGAAATGGACATTACCCTATACCTGTTGATTTGCATAATGCTGCAGTAGAGTTATATATAAGATGCTAATGGAAGTCCTAAGGAGCTCTGGTGGCACAGTGGTTAAGTTCATGGCTGCTAATCCACCAGCCACTGAACGAGAGAAAAGACCTGGCAGTCTGCAGATTACAGCATTGGAAACCTTAGGAGGAAGTTCTGCTGTGTCACACGGGCTCCTTATGAGTTGAAAACGACTCGACGGCACCTAACAACAACAGTGGAAACCCAGAGAAGGAAACATGTCCTGGTAATGAGGATCATGGAATGAGTTTTGAAGTAAACTAAGATCTTTTGTGTTTTTAAAAGAGGTATTTATTATGACCATCACACATCTGTGTGTGTTGTACCGTGGTGGCTTGCATATTGCTGTGATGCTAGAAGCTATGCCACTGGTATTTCAAATACCAGAAGGGTCACCCATGGTGGACAGGTTTCAGAGGAGTTTCCAGACTAAGGCAGACTAGAAAGAAGGACCTGGCAGTCTACTTCTGAAAATATTGGCCAGTGAAAATCTTATAAATAGCGATGGAACATTCATTGTCTGATATAGTGCCGAAGATGACCCCTCATGCTGGAAGGCACTCAAAAGACAACTTGGGAAGAGCTGCCTTCTCAAAGTAGATTCGACCTTAATGACATGGAAGGAGTAAAGCTTTTGGGACCTTCATTTGCTGATGTGGCGTAACTCAAAATGAGAAGAAATAGCTGTAGACATCCATTAAAAACCAGAACGTGGAATGTACAAAGTATGAATCTAGGAAAATTGGAAGTCCTTAAAAATGAAATGGACTGCATAAAGATTGGTATCCTAGGTATTAGTGAGCTGAAATGGACTGGTATTGGCCATTTTGAATCAGACAATCATATGGTCTGCTATGCCAGGAATGACAAATTGAAGAGGAATGTCTTCACATTCATTGTCAAAAAGAACATCTCAAGGTCTATCCTGAAGTACAACACTGTCAGTGATAGGATAATATCCATATGCCTACAAGAAAGACCAGTTAATACGAATATTATTAAAATTTACGTACCAACCACTAATGCCAAAGATGAGAAAATTGAAGATTTTCACCAACTTCTGCAGTCGGAAATTGAACAAACTTGCAATCAAGATGCATTGATAATTACTGGTGATTGAGATAAGAAAGTTGGTAACAAAGAAGGATAGGTAGTTAGAAAATACCACCTTGGTGAGAGAAATGACACCAGAGATCTCATGATAGAATTTTGCAAGACCAGCAACTTATTGCAAATACCTTTTTTCAACAACATAAATGGCCACTATACACGTGGACCTCTCTGGAGGGACTACACAGGAATCTAATCGACTACATCTGCGGAAGAGATGATGGTAAAGCTCAATATCATCAGTCAGAACAGGGGCAGGGGCTAACTACAGAACAGACCATCAGTTGCTTATATGCAAGTTCAAGTTGAAGAAAATTAAAACAAGTCAGTGAGAGCCAAAACACTCCCTTGAGTATATCCGACCTGAATTTGGAGACCATCTCAGTAATAGATTTGACACACTGAACACTAATGACCAAAGACTAAACAACGTGTGGCATGACATCAAGGACATCATACATTAAGAAAGCAAGAGGTCATTAAAAAGACAGGAGAGAAAGAAAAGACCAAAATGGATGTCAGATGAGACTCTGAAACTTGCTCTTGAACATAGAGTAGCTAAAGCGAACGGAAGAAATGATGAAGTAAAGCAGCTGAACAGACGATCTCAAGAGGCAACTCGAGAAGACAGAGTAAAGTATTATAATGAAATGTGCAAAGACCTGGAGTTAGAAAACAAAAATGGAACAACGAACTTGGCATTTCTCAAGCTGAAAGAACTGAAGAAAAATTTCAAGCCTCGAGTTGCAGTATTAAAGGATTCTGTGGACAAAATATTGAATGATGCAGAAAGAATCAAAAGAAGATGGAAGGAATACACAGAGTCACTATACCAAAAAGAGTTGGTCAGTGTTCAGCCATTTCAGGAGGTAGCATATGATCAAGAACCGATGGATGGTATTGAAGGAAAAACTCCAGGCTACACTGAAGGCATTAGTGAAAAATGAGGCTCCAGGAATTGATGGAATACCCATTGAGATGTTTCAACAAATGGATGCAGTGCTGGAAAAACTCACTCGTTTATGCCAAGAAATTTGGAAGACAGCTACCTGGCCAACTGACTGGAAGAGATCCATATTCATGCCCATTCCAAAGAAAGGTGATCCAACAGAATGCGAAAATTACCGAACAGTATTATTAATATCACACACAAGTAAAATTTTGCTGAAGATAATTCAAAATTGATTGCAGCAGTAGGAATTGGAGCAGTAGAAACTGCCAGAAATTCAAACCAGATCCAGAAGAGTATATGGAACGAGGGATATCGTTGCTGATGTCAGATGGATCTTGGCTGAAAACAGAGAATATCGGAAAGATGCTTACCTTTGTTTTATTGACTATGCAAAGGCATTTGACTGTGTGGATCATAACAAATTATGGATAACATTGTAAAGGATGGGAATTCCAGAACACTTCATTGTTCTCATGCAGAACCTGTACTTAGACCAAGAGGGAGTTGTTTAAACAGAACAAGGGGATATTGTGTGGTTTAAAATCAGGAAAGATGTGCATCAGGGTTGTATCCTTTCACCATACTTAGTCTGTATGCTGAGCAGATAATCTGAGACACTGGGCTATATGAAGAAGAACACAGCATCAGGATTGAAGGTAGACTCATTCACAACTTTGGGAATATTTGCTTGCGGAAAGTGAAGAGGACTTGAAGCACTTCCTGATGAAGATCAAAGACTATAGCTTTCAGTGTGAGTTACACTTCATTGTAAAGAAAACAAAAATCCTCACAACTGCACCAATAAGCAGTATCATAATAAAGGGAGAAAATAATGAAGTTGTCAAAGATTTCATTTTACTTGGATCCACGATCAACACTTGTCTTAGTCATCTAGTGCTGCTCTAACAGAAGTACCACGAGTGGATGGCTTTTAACAAGAGAAATTTATTCTCTCACAGTCCAGCAGGCTACAAGTCCAAATTCAGGGCATCAGCTCCAGAAGAAGGCTTTCTGTCTCTGTTGGCTCTGGAGAAAGGTATGTGTCATCAGTCTTCCCTTGGTCTGGAAGGTCCTTGTGATGCATCAGTCTTCCCTTGGTCTGGAAGCATCTCAGAGCAGGAACCTTAGGTCCAAAGGATACGCTCTGCTCCCAGCACTGCTGTCTTGGTGGTGTAAGGTTCCTGTGTGTCTCTGCTTGCTTCTCTCTTTTTATATCTGAAAAGAGACTGGATTAAGACACTATCTCATTTTGTAAACCTTATCAGCATAACCTCATCACAGTGGTAGAATTTACAACACATAAGGAGATCACATCAGATTACACAATCATACAGTACTGGGAATCATGACTTAGCCAAGTACGCACATTTTTTGGGAGACACATTTCAATCCATGACAGCAACCATGGAAGCAGCAGTTGAGAAATCAGACGATGTATTACATTGGGCCCATCTGCATCAAAAGACCTCGTTCAAGTGTTGAAAAGCAAAGATGTCACTTTGAGGACTAAGGTGCACCTGACCCAAGCTATGGTGTTTTCAGTCACCTCATATGCATGCAAAAACTGGACAATGAATAAGGAAGACTGAAGAAGAAATTGATGCCTTTGAATTATGATGTTGGCAGAGAATATTGACTATATCGTGGACTGCCAGAACAAACAAGTCTGTCTTTGAAGAAGTACCACCAAAGTGCTCCTTTGACGCTAGGATGGTCAGACTTTATCTCATGTACTTTGAACATGTTCTCAGGAGGGACCAGTCCCTGGAGAAGGACATCATGCTTGGTAAGGTAGAGGATCTGTAAAAAAGAGGAAGACCCTCGACGAGATGGATTGACACATTTGCTGCAACCATGGGCTAAAACACAGCAACGATTGTGAGGATGGAACAGGACCAGGCAGTGTTTCATTCTGCTGCATCTGGCGTTGCTATGCGTCAGAACCGACTTGACAGCATCTTACAACAATAACGTTTATTATGAAAAAGGCTAGTTCCTATTAAAGACAATTTAGAATATTTGAGAAGAGGTGTTACAAAAAACACTTTTGGTACATTAAAAGAGCTATTAACTTAACCTCTAATAATAATTTGGAATATTATACACTTTCTTCTTTCTACCTCACAGA